CACCTGGCCTCACCTCCGTCACCGTCACCTGGCCTCACCAACCGTCACCACCTGGCCTCACCAACCACCACCACCTGGCCTCACCAACCACCACCACCTGGCCTCACCCACCACCACCTGGCCTCACCCACCACCACCTGGCCTCACCCACCACCACCTGGCCTCACCAACCACCACCACCTGGCCTCACCAACCACCACCACACCTGGCCTCACCAACCACCACCACCTGGCCTCACCAACCACCACCACCTGGCCTCACCAACCACCACCACCTGGCCTCACCAACCACCACCACCTGGCCTCACCAACCACCACCACCTGGCCTCACCAACCACCACCACCTGGCCTCACCAACCACCACCACCTGGCCTCACCAACCACCACCACCTGGCCTCACCAACCACCACCACCTGGCCTCACCACCACCACCCACCTGGCCTCACCAACCACCACCACCTGGCCTCACCAACCACCACCACCTGGCCTCACCAACCACCACCACCTGGCCTCACCACCACCACCACCTGGCCTCACCAACCACCACCACCACCTGGCCTCACCAACCACCACCACCTGGCCTCACCAACCACCACCACCTGGCCTCACCAACCACCACCACCTGGCCTCACCAACCACCACCTGGCCTCACCTCACCACCACCACCACCTGGCCTCACCAACGTCACCACCTGGCCTCACCTGGCCACCACCACCACCTGGCCTCACCAACCACCACCACCTGGCCTCACCAACCACCACCACCTGGCCTCACCAACCACCACCACCTGGCCTCACCAACCACCACCACCACCTGGCCTCACCAACCACCACCACCTGGCCTCACCACCACCACCACCACCTGGCCTCACCAACCACCACCACCTGGCCTCACCAACCACCACCACCACCTGGCCTCACCAACCACCACCACCTGGCCTCACCACCACCACCACCTGGCCTCACCAACCACCACCACCTGGCCTCACCAACCACCACCACCACCTGGCCTCACCAACCACCACCACCACCTGGCCTCACCAGCCACCACCACCTGGCCTCACCAACCACCACCACCACCTGGCCTCACCAACCACCACCACCACCTGGCCTCACCAACCACCACCACCACCTGGCCTCACCAACCACCACCACCACCTGGCCTCACCAACCACCACCACCACCTGGCCTCACCAACCACCACCACCACCTGGCCTCACCAACCACCACCACCACCTGGCCTCACCAACCACCACCACCACCACTCACCAACCTCACCAACCTGGCCTCACCACCACCTGGCCTCACCAACCACCACCACCACCTGGCCTCACCAACCACCACCACCACCTGGCCTCACCAACCACCACCACCACCTGGCCTCACCAACCACCACCACCACCTGGCCTCACCAACCACCACCACCACCTGGCCTCACCAACCACCACCACCACCTGGCCTCACCAACCACCACCACCACCTGGCCTCACCAACCACCACCACCACCTGGCCTCACCAACCACCACCACCACCTGGCCTCACCAACCACCACCACCACCTGGCCTCACCAACCACCACCACCACCTGGCCTCACCAACCACCACCACCACCTGGCCTCACCAACCACCACCACCACCACCTGGCCTCACCAACCACCACCACCACCTGGCCTCACCTCCACCACCAACCACCTCACCTCCGTCACCACCACCTGGCCTCACCAACCACACACCACCTGGCCTCACCAACCACCACCACCACCTGGCCTCACCACCACCTCACCGTCACCTGGCCTCACCAACCGATGGCTTATAATGGTGGCTTAGTGAGGGAGGAACGAGAGGGAGGGAGAGGAGTGTTGGAGAAGGGAGATAAGTGCAGGAGAAGGGAGAGAAGTGCAGGAGAAGGGAGAGAAGTGCAGGAGAAGGGAGAGAAGTGCAGGAGAAGGGAGAGAAGTGCAGGAGAAGGGAGAGAAGTGCAGGAGAAGGGAGAGAAGTGCAGGAGAAGGGAGAGAAGTGCAGGAGAAGGGAGAGGAGTGTTGGAGAAGGGAGAGAAGTGCAGGAGAAGGAAGAGAAGTGCTGGAGAAGGGAGAGAAGTGCTGGAGAAGGGAGAGAAGTGTTGGAGAAGGGAGAGAAGTGCAGGAGAAGGGAGAGGAGTGTTGGAGAAGGGAGAGAAGTGCAGGAGAAGGGAGAGAAGTGCAGGAGAAGGGAGAGAAGTGCAGGAGAAGGGAGAGAAGTGCAGGAGAAGGGAGAGAAGTGCAGGAGAAGGGAGATAAGTGCAGGAGAAGGGAGATAAGTACAGGAGAAAGGAGAGAAGTGCAGGAGAAAGGAGCTAAGTGCAGGAGAAAGGAGAGAAGTGCAGGAGAAAGGAGATAAGTGCAGGAGAAGGGAGAGAAGTCTTGGAGAAGGGAGATAAGTCTTGGAGAAGGGAGAGAAGTGCAGGAGAAGGGAGAGAAGTCTTGGAGAAGGGAGAGAAGTGCAGGAGAAGGGAGAGAAGTGCAGGAGAAGGGAGAGAAGTCTTGGAGAAGGGAGAGAAGTCTTGGAGAAGGGAGAGAAGTCTTGGAGAAGGGAGAGAAGCAATAATTTATTTTTAAATTAGATTTGTTGTATTTGTATGATGGGCTTCAGCTCCTAAGCCCCGCCTCATATGCCGCTGGTCACCAGTTAACACAGGCATCAAACACCCTAATTCCTCGTCACATCTCCTTATTCTTAAGAAGTGAGAAAGAATAAGATTAAGGAATCGTTCTATTCTTACCTCTCTCCCACTTATTCTTTACTCATTCACAGCTAAAGTGTTTTTTCTTGCAGCTGAGTGGACAGCACTCGGGATTCGTAGTCCTGGGTTTCCGGGTTCGATCCCCGGTGGAGGCGGAGACAAATGGACAGAGTTTCTTTTACCCTGATGCACCTGTTCACCTAGCAGTAAATAGGTACCTGGGAGATAGACAGCTGCTACGGGCTGCTTCCTGGGGGTGTGTAACAAAATGGAGGCCTGGTTGAGGACCGGGCCGTGGGGACGCTAAGCCCCGAAATCTGAAATGTAAGCCCATTTGTTTCCTGTCCTCTGGCAGGTTAGGAGGCCAGGCAGTTCTCCTAAGGTTCCAAAACATCATGAAAACCGTTAATTGAAAGTTTCCCCTCTCCTAACCTAAGCCAGAGGACCCAAAACAGAAAACGGAACAATGCGTCACTTTCGCCAACCGATTTCGTTTTGAATTACGTCGATTTTTAGCCTGAGTGCGCTTACGTGCGAAAAGCGACGTAATTTGTAATTTGACGAGTTGAATGCACTCCTTCCAAAATCTTCACTGTGTGGACCCACAGTTGTTGTGTTAAATTCAGGTACTCAGAACAACATTTCCATGTAGCACGGGCTATGGTGAGCCCGTAATGTGTGTACTCAGTCTATCTTGATTTTAAACAGTTGTATATATATATATGTCGTACCTAGTAGCCAGAACTCACTTCTCAGCCTACTATTCAAGGCCCGATTTGCCTAATAAGCCAAGTTTTCCTGAATTAATATATTTACTATAATTTTTTTCTTATGAAATGATAAAGCTACCCTTTTCTCTATGTATGAGGTCAATTTTTTTTATTGGAGTTAAAATTAACGTAGATATATGACCGAACCTAACCAACCCTACCTAACCTAACCTAACCTATATTTATAGGTAAGGTTAGGTTAGGTAGCCAAAAAAAGCTAGGTTAGGTTAGGTAGGTTAGGTAGACGAAAAAACATTAATTCATGAAAACTTGGCTTATTAGGCAAATGGGGCCTTGAATAGTAGGTTGAGAAGTGCGTTCTGGCTATTAGGTACGACATATATATATATATATATATATATATATATATATATATATATATATATATATATATATATATATATATATATATATATATATATATACAGTTGTATATAAAATTACAGTATATAAAATCAAGATAGCGTAATCAGTCTATCTTGATTTTATATAACCACTGTTTCGTTGATGTGAGGTCCATTGGCATCTTTGGATGTGGAGTAATTGTCCTTAGTGGATTGGCAAGGTCACAAGCTATTGCTAAGTGACCTGACCTGACCTGACCTGACCTTGGCTAGTGGCTGTCTGACACGTGGAGCTCTTATTGTTCAGTCGTTGATGACCCCACAGACGTGTTCTGTTGTTCAACTGTTCTGCGGTGAACACAGCTCTATTATTGCGACCTGTTCTTCCACCCGCCAACTCTCCACCATCACCTACTCCCTCACCACCACTCCCCCTTCCTCTCGTTCTCTCTTCCATTCTCCTCTCCCCCGTCTGCTTGCCCTCCCCACCATCCCCCACCTTCCTTACAACCCTTCATCACCCTCTATCCCATGCCAATCCCCCCGCACACCCTCCATCCCACCCCATCGCCCCGCACACCCCCCTCCATCCCACCCCATCCCCCCGCACACCCCTCCATCCCACCCCAATCCCCCCGCACACCCCTCCATCCCACCCCAATCCCCCCGCACACCCCTCCATCCCATGCCATCCCCCCGCCACACCACCTTCATTCCCACCCCAATCCCCCCTCACACACTCCCGCCATCCCCCATCCCCATCCTCACCCACTCTCCATTCCACCCCAACCCTCCATCACCCTCCCATCTCACTAACCCTACCTCACTAGTTTTCCCAGATGATGCACAACTAACAAGAAATGTAAACAAAACAACGAAGATTACAGAAAGACATTGACAAGCTCCAAGAGTGCACAGACAGATGGCTAATGAAGTTCAACCCCAACAAGTGCCAGGTAATGAAGCTGGGAAAGAGACAACGGAAGATAAGGAAGTAATAACTACAGGTCTACACCGTAAGGGACAGAAACTGCAGGAATTTCAAGGAGAATATTATTTGAGAATGGAAATAATGCAAATATATAAACAGCATTGCAACGGCATATATGTATGGGAACCTGGTCAATATGTCAACTGCATTTTCAAACCTAATTTAGGACTTTTTGCAAGGTAATTTATCCTGTCTGTGTGACGAGAACACACGTGAACACAAAGTTAAGCTTGAGAACACACGTGAACACAAAGTTAAGCTTGAGAACACACGTGTACACAAAGTTAAGCTTGAGAACACACGTGAACACAAAGTTAAGCTTCAGAACACACGTGAACACAAAATTAAGCTTGAGAACACACGTGAACACAAAGTTAAGCTTGAGAACACACGTGTACACAAAGTTAAGCTTGAGAACACACGTGTACACAAAGTTAAGCTTGAGAACACACGTGAACACAAAGTTAAGCTTGAGAACACACGTGTACACAAAGTTAAGCTTGAGAACACACGTGAACACAAAGTTAAGCTTGAGAACACACGTGTACACAAAGTTAAGCTTGAGAACACACGTGTACACAAAGTTAAGCTTGAGAACACACGTGAACACAAAGTTAAGCTTCAGAACACACGTGAACACAAAATTAAGCTTGAGAACACACGTGAACACAAAGTTAAGCTTGAGAATACACGTGTACACAAAGTTAAGCTTGAGAACACACGTGAACACAAGTTAAGCTTGAGAACACACGTGTACACAAAGTTAAGCTTGAGAAACACACGTGAACACAAAGTTAAGCTTGAGAACACACGTGAACACAAAGTTAAGCTTGAGAACACACGTGAACACAAAGTTAAGCTTGAGAACACACGTGAACACAAAGTTAAGCTTGAGAACACACGTGAACACAAAATTAAGCTTGAGAACACATGTGAACACAAAATTAAGCTTGAGAACACTCGTGAACACAAAGTTAAGCTTGAGAACACACGTGAACACAAAGTTAAGCTTGAGAACACACGTGAACACAAATTTAAGCTTGAGAACACACGTGAACACAAAGTTAAGCTTGAGAACACACGTGAACACAAAGTTAAGCTTGAGAACACACGTGAACACAAAGTTAAGCTTGAGAACACACGTGAACACAAAGTTAAGCTTCAGAACACACGTGAACACAAAGTTAAGCTTCAGAACACACGTGAACACAAAGTTAAGCTTCAGAACACACGTGAACACAAAGTTAAGCTTGAGAGCACACGTGAACACAAAGTTAAGCTTGAGAACACACGTGAACACAAAATTAAGCTTGAGAACACATGTGAACACAAAATTAAGCTTGAGAACACTCGTGAACACAAAGTTAAGCTTGAGAACACACGTGAACACACAGTTAAGCTTGAGAACACACGTGAACACAAAGTTAAGCTTGAGAACACACGTGAACACAAAGTTAAGCTTGAGAACACACGTGAACACAAAGTTAAGCTTGAGAACACACGTGAACACAAAGTTAAGCTTGAGAACACACGTGAACACAAAGTTAAGCTTCAGAACACACGTGAACACAAAGTTAAGCTTCAGAACACACGTGAACACAAAGTTAAGCTTCAGACACACGTGAACACAAAGTTAAGCTTGAGAGCACACGTGAACCAAAGTTAAGCTTGAGAACACACCGTGAACACAAAGTTAAGCTTGAGAACACACGTGAACACGAAGTTAAGCTTGAGAACACACGTGAACACAAAGTTAAGCTTGAAACACACGTGAACACAAAGTTAAGCTTGAGAACACAAGTGAACACAAAGTTAAGCTTGAGAACACACGTGAACACAAAGTTAAGCTTCAGAACACACGTGAACACAAAGTTAAGCTTGAGAACACACGTGAACACAAAATTATGCTTCAGAACACACGTGAAAACACAAGTTAAGCTTGAGAACACACGTGAACACAAAATTATGCTTCAGACACCACGTGAACACAAAGTTAAGCTTGAGAACACACATGAACACAAAGTTAAGCTTCAGAACACACGTGAACACAAAGTTAAGCTTGAGAACACACGTGAACACAAAATTATGCTTCAGAACACACGTGAACACAAAGTTAAGCTTGAGAACACACGTGAACACAAAGTTAAGCTTCAGAACACACGTGAACACAAAGTTAAGCTTGAGAACACACGTGAACACAAAGTTAAGCTTGAGAACACACGTGAACACAAAGTTAAGCTTGAGAACACACGTGAACACAAAGTTAAGCTTGAGAACACACGTGACACCAAAGTTAAGCTTGAGAACACACGTGAACACAAAGTTAAGCTTGAGAACACACGTTTACACAAGTTAAGCTTGAAACACACGTGA